AATTACCCATTTGATTAACTGAATAATTTAGTTTTAAGATTAGTATAAATCACATGCCCATTAATGCATGTCCTGAAGTAGGAGATTTTCTTGAGCGGTCTTGAAACAAGGCGACTGTGGTTTCCTTGTGTTCAGTAATTCGAGCCACTTCAACGAAACTTGTTCTGAATAAGAAGAATGACAGAATCCAATTAGATAGTTCAGTGCAATTTAAAATATACCTTGACTAAACTGCGCAATAGTTTCATTCTTTAAATTTACATCAGCAACCAAAACCAAAGTAAACAAAATTCCAAGGTAGAGATGACGAAGTACAGGAAAAGTTTCCCTCAAGATTCGGCTTTTCTTTTACATTAACCATAGTGTTTTTGTTGCAGTTTTTGTTGCATTCCGTTTTTTGTTACATTCCGTTTTTGTTGCAGTTCCCGTACTCTCATTTAACTATTGGGTACACACCGTTATATTCTTTGGCTGATTAGGTTTGGAAAGTTCCGGTGGTACTCAGTTCCAATTTAGTGTCGAATCGTGAACATTTTTCAAGCCAACTAGTTTTGTTTCGATCGTTCTCTAATTTTGCTGCCATTGCACATGTTTATTTATCGGAATTTTTCGTTCAGGTGTTTCAGTCAACTTTTTAGTTGCTGTCTTAATTGTTGACGCTGATTTTTTGCAGGTGTTTATCTATCGATTGTTTTGGGAAAGCAAAGACGATCCTAGGAGAATTCGAATGGAAGATATTCGTCGCGCTTTTCCTCACTACGCTGAAAGCAGTATCCGCAAACGCCTCAAGATCTGCTCCGATTTTAAGCGACTGGGGCAGGGTAAAGGTCGCGCTTTTTGCAAATTTCGTTGCTTTCTGCGACGTACTCGAATTTAGGCCCTGAAGCGAACTTTTGGGTGCTGCGCGACGATTTTCGTTTGCCAAACTTGGACGAGCTTCGACAGATGATCACACCGGAAATGTGTTGCGCGTATTATAGCATGTTGGCCGCCCAGCAACGCCTTAAAGACGCCGGTTACGGTGAGAAGTATTTTTTCACTCCAGAGGAAGGCGAAGAAGATGAGGATCACGTGAAAATGGCTGATGAGGTTTTTCAAATGAGGACACTTCCAATTTGTTTATTTACGCTTTACGTATAGATAAAATGCGCACCTTGGAACACGACGAGGGCTTATATTTCCGCGAGCAAAGGAAAGTGCCTGTTGGACCTTAGCGGAGTAGCAGATCCCACCGGATGCGGCGAGGGATTCTCTTACGTTCGATTATCGTCTAAACCCCAAAAGGTACACCAATTTTACTTATTGCAGCATGTTTATGATATAAGATGTTTTATGACGTTAATTTATGATATACAGTGTGTATCTATCAACGTTATTGTCAGGTAGACGAGGTATATTATTGTTACATTTTTGGGATAAATATGCATGGTGGATTCTAGTCTTTTTTCCTGCTTGTACTGGACAAAGACAAACTTTCTTCAGAACTACAAACGGATGTGTTTCCATGGTAGCCGTTGTTCGTTGATTGACCGTTTTTGATCTCATAACAGGTCTTCGCTTCCACAAGAATCACGGCAAGAAAAGGGAACGCACCTCAACAGACTTTATCTTGTTGTATCTACCTATTTTCATCCTTGCCATTTCTTTCCGGAACGTGGGCAGGATTTTGAAATTTTCGAGGGCATTATTTCGTAAAATGTTCCAAGGTTCAACTAGTTTATCCTGCTGGAGGATCTCTTGTATAAAAACTGAAGTTATCTTTTGCACATTTAATTTAAGGAAGAACTTCCTACTCCTGTGAAACGGACGGTCACTGGAACTGACGCAGATTTGAGGAAGTTGTCTTTGAAAGATGCCAAGCAACTGTTGAAGGAATTTGGAGTTAAAGATGAAGAGGTAAATATCTGCTTTTTGACGTTCAAATAGTTTATTGTGTTCGAACCAATGCCGAACATTTCAGATAAAGTCACTGACGCGTTGGGAAATTATCGATGTTATCAGGACTCTGTCTACTCAGCAGGCTCGAATGGGGGGTTCAGGTAAATTCAGTCTTGTGTTCGCTGCAACAGTTTCGGCTGACGATGTTTCCTTCAGGAATTACGAAGTTCGCTCGAGGCAGTATGAGGTTTAGTCTGGCCGAGGTTCAAGAGCGCTATAATCACGAATGCCAGCGAATCTTCGACCTGCAGAATAGGTGAGTTGTCGTTGAACGGACCATTACGTTATGGTTAAATGACATGTCCTTCTCTCATAGGATACTGAGTTCTCGTGAGGTGATAAGCACCGATGAAGAGGAAAGCGAAGCTGATGATTCTGACATCGAAGAAATGGGCAAACATATCGAAACTATGTTGACCAGCAAAAAGGCGGTATATTAATTTTAATGATCATTTTTCAAGACGAAATAGTCATACTGTAAGTTAGATAACGCGCTTCTCTCATGTAGTCTGAGGCTTGCCCTTAAATTAGATTTAGAAACACGTGTCAGTAGTAACTCAGCACACTGCCTTGTTTGAAGGAAACCTGTGACAAAGCTGATTTTATCAAGCTATCGCGAACATTACCTAAGAAATTACCTTAACGGAATAAGACCTGGATCTTTGAGATGCACCCGAAATGTTGCTCCCTGTATATTTCTTTACATTCACGTATTTATCACTTTCGAAATATGACGCTTGAAAGAACAACGTATAAAATATTTTTTGACGCGCATGTTTATAGCTAATTGACTGTTCAGATAAAACTCGACAGAAATACTACAGATTTGCAGAATGTTTTGAAACAAAAGATTTTTTCAACAGAACTGCTAAATTTTAAATTTCAGTTTCAAAGGCCTCTTTATTCTTTCCGATTATGGAAGCAGCAGCATGTAACCAAGCAATCCTGCCGTGTCTAATTTTCGTCAAAACATAACAGATGAGGCTAGTCTTGAGCCAAGTCCATAGAAGCTTCTGCTCCAGGATATTCTTGGTTTTTTTTGAAATCGCCGGCCGGTCGGTGGTAGCTCTTTCACTTTCGTTTCGTGAAGCACTAACAAAACGTCCCTAAACCATCGCAGCTGAGGTTTCTCAGTTTGCAGATGCAGCGGCTGTGTATCAAGGCTCTCTCGGGTATCAGATCTCTGGGCTATGTCAAGAAGCGTGAGACCATTGATTGGATTCAGAAGACCCATTTCTTCCGCTTTTACCCAGGATCAAGGTTTTTCCGTAATGACCCACGATTCGTGATCGTATGTTATCAATGAAAGGAAAATCGAGCACAGTTTTGTTTTCAAGCTCACAACAGTTCGGCTTCTTTCAGGCAGGACGTCGTTGGCTGTTCCAGTTTGTCGGTCGATCTCTTCCTCCAGTTTTCCATCAACAGTAAATAGGACCTCGAAGTATGTGAACTTCACCTGTTCCACTACTTTTCTGTTTATCTGCAGAACAAAGAGGTAGGAGAAACTAGAAAGAACTAAGTTTGAGTCTTAGAAACGTTCATACAAATGCCCGCCTCGTTGCATTCG